AAAAGTAAAAAACCCTTTATTTATGCAATAGTAGTTTTGCTTACAATACTGCCTGAGCACAAGAAATTAGTAACAGAATACTTTTAATATGTCTCATTCAAACCCCCAGTCATCGTCAAACTAACTACAAAAGTTTCTTTAGCCTATAAAATACCATTCAGTTTTTCCTAAAAATTGACTAACATTTCTATTGACTTCTTAAGCAGTTTCATTATTTTTTGGGGGTGTTGTTATGATTTACCTAAAAAAGGGAAAGTTTAGTTACTTGATTCTATTTTGCATTTTCTCCCAAACCTGCAATACCTTCACCACTTCCTGTTTGTCACATATTCCTATCACCCCAAGGAGAGCCAGCTCTAGGAGCTTAAATTGCAGCTATAGCTGGAGTGTGTTTAGGATTTAACATTTTACACAGAATAGAAAAAAAACTGTTTTAAAGTATACTTAAATCCAGCAGGATAATTAGAAACTATTTAAACTAATCACTTCATTTTTATGTCAGGAATCTAAGGAACAGAGACGCTAACAAAGATCTTGCCAAAAAAGCTGGTCAAGTCTTCGGATAGTCCTTTGCTCTTGGTGCCATTAAACTTGAAGACAACAGCCAAGTAAGTGCATGTGGTGACTTGCCAAGTTAACGTTAGACCAAATTCAAGTTAATGCCACTACTCATGGCAGAAATTTGCCCAACACTGTTGCTTTCTTTTTAGGTCTTAAGAAAAAAATGAAACATACCTGTTGTTCCAGAGGTAAAAATATAAAGAGAAGGAGACTTGAGGTTTGAGACAGCATGGTGGCTGTGTGGCACTGGCTTGTCAGATGCTGTAGTCAGTTTTTCTTTGAGTGAAATTACACCTTGTGGAACAGAATCTCTTACCCCCCAAACACTGATATCTTCTGGGAGGCTGGGAAGGATTTCTTCTACAGCTTCAAGCAGATCTAAAAACCGAAGGACGAGGGATAGGTAAACAAAGCATAAATTTCAAACCATTCACCTATTGTTTTCTTTGGCGTGTTGGAACAGAGATAAAATACAAATACTCATTTCATTTTCACGTTGGGTAAGTCACATCAAAGCCATTTTATGATTCTGTTTCAACAGGACCAACTGAAAGGGAAATCTATTCATTATTTAACCAAAGTAAATAGGCCAATTCAAACTGAATTTTGGGGACTCCATTATCCAGACTATGCTTTTTTCCAATTTTTAAAAATAAATATTTAAATATTTTTATACTCTGCTTTAAATCTAAACTCAGGACACTGCATTAAATGTTGTCCTTGAAATACAACTCAGTAGCTCATTATTACAAAAAGCCATCTGTCTGTCACTGTTTAGTTCTGCCATAATGCAACACAGGTGGGAGAATGCCGACTGCTCTAGAATCACAAGATCATTATGAGTTAGACCATTTCTGAGCCAAAAGTTCACTGAGGGGACTTAGAGATGTCACTGGCCTTCTGGAGTTACACAAGAAATGCCAAAGATTACCAGCAACCACCAGAAGCTAGCTAGGAAGAGGTTCTTTCTTAGAGCCTTGAGAGGAGCCTAACCCTGCAGACACTTTCATTTGGGACTCCTCACCCCCAGAACTGGGAGGGGATAAATGTCTGTGGTTTTAAGCCAACTAGTTGTGGTACTTTATCACAGCAGCCCTAGGAAACTAAAACACCAAGGTCACAAGCTGGCAGACAGTAAAATTGTTGTTACCTTAACCCAAGTCTAACTCTAAAATTTATACATTATCTCATAAGATTAAACCAATGTAAAAAGTAATGTTATTAGATATAAAACGTACCCTGGTCGGAATGCTCAGGTACATGTACATATGGACCTTTCCATTTAAGCAATTATATGTATTCTAATTTTTTTAAACAAAACTTTAAAAATAATCGCAAGATATATTCTGCTTTGAAGTTGAATCCAGGGTGCTGCATTAAACATTTCCCTGGAAACATGAATCACTATTCAGTTATCTCAAAAGGCCATCTATCAGCACTGTTTAGTTCCACTGTAATACAAGACATCTGAGAAAAACTCATGAGATCCTTCCTCAAAATCTGTAATCCAGATTGATCACAAAGAGGCAGCAAGAGAAATATGTCTAATGGGATGAGACAGTTCATAAACAAAACCTGCAAGAAAATGAAGGAAACACAAAAAGTGATGAGGAGTTGATACGTCGTAGGTGGTAGGCAGGTTGGGGACTTGAAATTTTTAAAATTAATTTTTATATCTATAACATATCCACATAAAGGAAACTGTAAGAGTCTAGAGAAAATACTTAATTCTACTCAGCATACACAGCAAGCTGCTGTATACAGATGGCTTTGTTAAGACAGAGAAATGAAAAATCACAAGGAATGCTGGGAGAGGAACACGTCACAAATAAATGAAAGGGCGAGACAAGCAAATAATCTAGACTTCCTATTTTAACTTTTAGTACTGAATTTTGTTTTAGTTACTGTCTCTGGCACTTTGCATGGTAAGTACAAGTCTCTGAACTGACTCATTTCATCACCTTAATTTCAAAGCCCTCATCTGGAATTGTAAATTAGAGCATTCACTTTTATATGTTCTTAATGATATGCATATATAAATTGGCAAAATAAGCGCAAATCGAGTTACAATATGATTCATTTAATTGTGGCTCCAAATCTTCGTTGGAATTGTAGAAATTAAAGAAACAGTAAGCATTTACAAAGAGTAATGACTTGTACAGAAAAAGGAAGTGAGCAGATTCCTAAGAATCCGAGGAGATACAATTTAACTTCCTTCATACATTATAAGTAAACTGACTTAGCTGAGTCTTAGAATTTTCAAGTAGAATTTTACCTAACAAAATCATTTCTTCAAAGTGGTGGGAAATGTAGGTGAGAATAGTGAAAAGTGAAATGAAAAAGTGAAATATTACGTAGGGGATAAAGAATCATTTCTTATCACTGTCAATCTTTCATAACAGAAAGAAAAGTTTTAGTGTTATTTGGAAAGTAAATTCTGAACATTAAGTCCTGACAAAAAATAGCATCTGTTTGAACACTTCGAGGAAACTTGGCTGTTTCATGAAGACGTACTCGTCAGTGAAGTGTATTACCACTGAATTTGCAGAACTGCAATCACCTCAAAAGAGTGGTGTGTGTCCTACTCCATCCTTTGGCTGACTGCACCTGGCACACACACCACAGGGAATGGATAGATATCTGGACACAGAGCTGAGCTCTGCCCATGGGACCCACTGTACATGCAGGTCTCTAAAGTAAACTACCATAAGAAAATGAGATAGCTGAGACCTTTAACAAAGTCTACATTACAGGAGAAGGCTCAATCTCTCTTTTCAAAGCAATAGGGTCTTCCAAAAAATATAAATTGCTTCTCACATTGTAAGGCACTGAGCGAGGTGGGGTTGCAAGCACACAGGTCTCTCCTCACAATCCCTTAGCACATTTTGTACAAATTAATTTCTTGTTTCCACATCATTATTATATATCTTATTCAAATTTCTGAGACTATAAAGTGAGTTATTCATACTGTATTAAAAACTCTTCAAATTATCTTATTCTGCATAAAACAAGCTAATATTTTCAAAGATATTGCTTGTTGCTCTTAATACATTGGCAAATATTTCAACTTTAAACATTTATGCATTAATAAAACTAATATGATATTCAACAAAATGGGTCAACTTGAGTTTTCCATTATTGCAAAGCAATATTCACACAGAATCCAAAGTGAAATTACAGATTTCACCGAATGCTTATAACTATCACCCTACTAGTTAGGTTTTCTGTGGAATGCATGGGCAAGCTATGGTTTCTAAGAAAACTGATGCATAGGTAAGCAATGCCCTAAAGAAATTAATATCATTATGTAGATACTAATACTTCAAATCAGGCCAGAAATTCATTTTATCATAAATAATATGTCAGCTATTTTTATAAATATTAGTTTATTAACAATCATCATAACCCTAGGAAGTGCGCAGAAGCTTCTCTTTCAATTGTGATTATGTATTCTTCCTTGAAACAGTTTTACTAACTGCCCTGAACATATGCATACAAGTTTGTGAGTGGATTTTGTGTCTTTCCTCTCAGCTGTCCTCACTTCTTTTGGGGGACAGGGAAAAGTGTACAAGAAAGTAAAAAGTAGAACACTTCATTTGATATTATTGCCAACACATCTATTGCTAATGAATAATTATTACTCAGTGGGACCACAATGGCATGATGTGTCTGGTTTACCATTTTTCAATGACAAAGTAGTGAAAATTATAAAAGTAAATGCACAAAAAAGCTCTCTAGTCATAATTAGGCTAATCAGTAAGTAAATTATATATTTTTAAAAAGTCAATTCCAAGGTAGTATTTTTGTAAGGTTCACACCCCAAAAGGGCTATTTGCCACATGCATTTTGGTTATAAATGGAAGAATCCTCCTCTTCTTGGCCAGAGAAGAGGTAATAACCATCTAGTTCCTAACCTGTGTCTGACAGCATTCTAGCCCTGGCCTCTGAAGATTGGGAAACAGGTATGACTGCACTGCTACTGGGAAGGACAGGACAGCTGCTTAAAACCAGGTCACTCAGGTCATATGACATGTACCTGGATCTCCCTCCTACAGCCCTCTGTCCACAGCAAAGCCCAAACAAGGAGACTCAGGTCAAAGACTTTGCATATTTGTCTCTGCCACCATGCAATTAAAAATAATTATGGCAACCATTTATTGAATATATACATGGTCCCAGGCACTCTGCTGTGTCCTTAATGTTTAAGTCACACAAGACCCAATCATATTCATTGGTCATCAGCAATGTGTTAGCAGTCAGTCAATGGTAGGGTTAGGATTCAAGCCCATGTTTATCTGAGTCCAAGATGTGCATTTCTCCCATTCAGTCTCACCATTTGTCTGAGGCACAACCTCCCTTTAAATTGTTTTTGCTCTTGCCAGTATTCAAGCATCATTCCTTTATAATACACACATCATCAGCAGATATTGTAAATAAGAACCCCAGGGCCAGTGCCCCCATGGTCAGTAAGGAATAAATGGTGTGCCCTGGCCGGTGTGGCTCAGTTGGTTGAGCGTCATCTCATGCACCAGAAGCTTGCCAGTTCAATTCCTGGTCAGGGCACATGCTGGGGTTGAGGGCTTGATCCCTACTAGGGGACATGCCAGAGGCAGCTGATCAATTTTCTCTCTCTCAGTTTCTCTCTCTCTTTCCCTCTCTCTTCCTCTCTCTCTAAAAAAATCAATAAAAACATTTTTAAAAATCAATCAACGAATGCATAAATAAGTTGAACAACAAATTGATGTTATTCTATCTCTCTCTAAAATTAATTAAAAAAAGGAGATTAAAGATGGTGGTGGACTGAGTGGAAGCTACGCTGACACTCTCCTGGGACCAAACCGGAATTACAACTAAAATATAGAAAAANTAAAAAAAGGAGATTAAAGATGGTGGTGGACTGAGTGGAAGCTACACTGACACTCTCCTGGGACCAAACCGGAATTACAACTAAAATATAGAAAAATCATCCTGAATAATCAACTGCAACTGAAGATGAGCTGGAAAGCACCCTCACAGGAGGAAAAGTGGAGACCTCATACAGACTGGTAGGAAATGTGGAGGTGCGAGAGGGCTGGCTGGGCTCCCGCAGGCAGCAGCTGAAGGGCTGGGGGGATATCTCAGCTGTGGGGGTTCCCACTGATGACTCTGGGACCTAAACCCCAGGCTGGGCTTCCCGGCCAAGGGCACCAGAACTGAGAAAGGTGCCCACATAACATCTGGCTGTGAAAAGTATCTGGGTTTCTGCCCGGCCGGGTGTGGCTCAGTAGTTGAGCGTCCACCTGGGATCCAGGCGATCAGGGTTCGATTCCCGGTCAGGGCACATGCCTGGGTTTCGGGCTTGATCAATGACTCTCTCACCATTGATGTTTCTATCTCTC